TTCTGTTTAAAAAAGCCATTTTAGCATATCCTGCAATGCTGGCTTGGTGGTAATGAATTCCTTAAGCTTATTCTTTTCTGAGAAGCTCTTTATCTCTCCTTCAATTTTAAGTGATAGCCACGCTGGGTAGAGCACTCTTGGTTGTAGGCCTTAATTTTGTGTCACTTTGAATATTTCCTGCCACTCCCTTCTGGCCTGTAAAATATGGACTTTTAAAACAACTTTAATTGTAATACCATTATCACACTAACATTTTAAACAGTAATCCCTTAATATCATCAATATCTAGTCAGTGTTCAGATTTTTTCAATTGTCTCATAATTTATAAAAACAACTTGTTTGAATCAGGTTTCAAAAGATGATTTGGGGCTTACAACATACAATTAATTGATTTGTCTCTTCAGCGTCTTTTAATCTGTAGCTTCTATTCTCCTTTCTTCTTTCCTCCCCTTCCTGGCCATTCTCCTCCCCCTGCCCCTGTTTCCCTGCCTCTGCCTTTCTCCCTCTACTCTTTCTCCTCTTCTTGGTTTTCATTTCCTGTCCCCTCCTACCTCCTCCTGCTGTTCCCGCTCCTCCATCTTTCTCTCCCGCTCTTCCAATTTATCTGTTAAAGAAACTGGGTCATTTGTCTTAGAGAGTCTCTCACAGTCTAGATTTTGCTTACTGTATCTCCACTTTATCCTCAGTGGACAAGTTCAGAGGTCTTTTGTATTTCCTATAAACAGGCACTGAGATCTAGAGGCTGATTCAATTTGGGTTTAAATTTTGCTAAGAATACTTGAGAGATGAGGTTGTGTAAATCATTCGGAGGCTTGCACTATCTGGCTGTCTTTCTTTTGGTGACATACGCAGCTAGCCATTGATGGTCATTGCCTAGATCCCTCATTTCCTTAGGAGTTTGCAAAATATTTAGATTTATGTCTACTATTCCTTCCTCGTTTATTAGCTGGTCTACATTGATAGTGTGAAACTCTCCCTCATCAATAATGTGGCTTTCTCAAGGTATCTTAATACAGGAAAAGCAGACTACATTCTTGACTTCTTGAACCTCTTCCCCTGTTTTTCCTCACCAGTTTTCATAAAAACAAATTATGGGGTTGTTGGGAAAGTCATGATGCATTTTTGCAATGAAAAACAGAAAAAATACATCATGACTTTTCCAACAACCCAATAGTCCCCTAGCACCTTTTAAAGTTAATGAGATTTTCTTTTAAGTATCATTATGATATCACGGCTTTAAACAAACTTGTTTTACTTCAGTCTACTGCAGTTATTTCTTTAAATTGATTCTCAAATTGACCCATTTTTGGCGAGTGGAAAACTAGTTCTTTTTGACACAATTCTAGTGATCTCATTGACTTCCTTGATTTGTGGTATGAAAAAATGTTGCAGGTTTAATTCATGTATTTCCTGCCCCAGACCCAGACCCAGCCATTTCTTCAAGGATCTCTTGTTCTTTTTAGTAAGAAATAGTATTTAGAGACCAAACAATCTGGGTGGTATATGAAATACTGTACGTTTTCAAAAATTCCTGTAACCTTCAATGATACCAAGAATAAGGAATGAAAAAGGCTGTGACCATAGAGCATATGAAATTGATGTCAAGCCTTTTAAGGCCACTACCCTGTAGGCATACATAAAATAATAAGAGAATTTGTGGTGCTAGTGATTATCAGGTACGGTTTGGGGAAAAACATTCTTTTGGCTTCAATACAGTTTGTGTTTCTCCCCAGCTGCCTTTTGCCTTGTGCTGAGTAGTTTATTCCTCTGAAAGGATGTTAAGAGGCAGAGGACATGGCTTTGCTTCATCAACTGCTAATGAGGGATGAACATGGACTTCATATCCCCGGAGGCTGCCATGCCAGGGCCCAGATCGAGGTGATGTAGACAGTAAGGGTTTGGTGAAAGGCAAAAGGTCTTGTCTAGGAATCTGGAGACTTGGGCTTGCACACTGGAATAACTATTGCTGGATCACGCTCGCTTTGAATCACCCTTTCCTGTGCCCATTCCCTCATCTGCAAAATAGGTAGAGTATGTGTGCATGAATGAGCATCTTGGGGTGGAGAGTAAAGGATAGTCATCCTTAACCTAGCTAACAGGTTAGCTATTATATAGCTGAGGTCTATTCAGATAGGAATAAAATATATGTACAAGTTAAAATATTTGCTATGATCATATCTTTACTTCACCCCAAGGCAGTCTTTTTCCTGGCTGTAAGAGCCAGCTGTTTTGATGGGCACCAGAAGTCCCCTTGGCCCACCATCTTTCCTCCACTGGCTCTGCCACAGTGCTTTGTATCTCCTTGATTCATACCCTCTTAGTAGTCAGGTATGAGTCTTTTGATGTTGTCTGGGAGAAATGATATAGTATGTCATTATTATCTTCTAAAATCCTGGTTAAAATGACCTTATCTGACTAGATTGTGGGTCATCTAGCAGGTGTCAGCGTAAAAGAGTATGACATGTCTCCTTCTTATGGAGAGGAAGATGGCTGGAGAGGTCTGGAAGAGACCACAAGGGCACTTTAGAGGCCATCCCACTGTAAGGGACAAGGGCAAGAGAAGGAAATCCAATGGCAGGTCACTAGTGGTAGCTGTTGTTTTTACCTGCCTTGATTTTATTGTGAAAAACTACCCTTCCTTCTTTGGATATGGTTTTGTCGGGACTTCTTTTTAATTGTTTCTTCAGGGAAGGAATAAATATCTGATCTGAGTTTGGCCAGTCAGATGCTGTGTTTCAGCAATTGAAATAGAAAAGCACAAAGATGTAACATCGTTGGAGGGCATCCGTCTCAATGGCAATGCCCTAAAGAGATTGTTAAGTAGCTGCTGCCACTTAGATCCACAAGCTGTCCTGATCTCTGGCCTTCCTGGGCCTGAGTTTTCAACCTCTTATGCTGCTTTCCAGTGAATTCTCTTCTCTCTCTTTTCCTCTTTGCCTTAAGTTAGCTTGATTTTGTATCTGTTGCTTGACACCAAAGATTGTAACATAAACACATACAAAAAACTTGTTTAAACCACAATTTAACATGTTCCCCTTTGTAGTGGCAGAGAGGTAGCAAAGATACGTTACTAAGTACTCTATCTGAAGTCACTTATATCTCTCATTTTTAAATATATGAATATATTTGGCTTAATTCAGAAGGGAATGAAAATGAAGACCATAAAGAAATACCATTTTTTCACCTGTCAGAGTGGCAAGGGTCAAAGAGCCTGAGCTACCCTGTTAGTGCAGGTATGGGGAACAAAGTCTGATGCATGCTGGCATGGCCCCTCTAGGGGACTATTTGCAAATACTGATACGGAATTCTAAATATGCTCACCTTTGACCCTGCGTTTTTGCTTCTAGGAATTTACACTACAGATATACCATATAAACAGATAATACAGTGCCATTAACAAGAATGAGACCATCTTATAGTTACATTCTCCACTATACATTAAGTGAAGAAAAGCAGAATTGTACTCATTGTGTCAAAAATACATAGAAATATACATAGAGTCATTTTGGAAAGATTCACTAAAGTGGGTCATGGTTGCCTCTAGAATGGGAACATTGTGGCTGGGAATTAGGGTAGGGGGAGGGAACAATTCCCTCTGTATTGTATTCTTTAATTAGGTATTGCTTCAGATGTGTTTTCATCACAATGCTAATGAAAGGAAGGAGGGATGGACCATGGGGGGCTGGTCTCTCTAGAAACTCTGTGAGGCATTAAGTGGCCTATGTGGTCTTCAAACCAGTTCCTGAACAGCTTGGATTTACTAGGAAAAAAGGAGGGTTTTGGCCTATTTCTTGCTCTCTTTGACTCTTGTGGGTCATTTAAAAAAAAATTTTTTTTTTATGTATTGGTCATTCTTTAACTTCATGCTATTATATACTATAGACAGAGAGTGCCAAAAAATGTATACATTTTAAGAAAGGAAAACTGTAAAAAATTGTAATACTCAATATATACTGATAACAAAAGATGAATACAAGTCACGTTTGGCTTCTGCAATTACAAGGGGTGCTCTGAGTGGTTACCATCAGTGTCCAGACACTTCTGATTATGGCTAACTACTGCTTGAGCAATGTTGGCCAAAGTGTCCACTTGTATACATTTTTTTGCTCCCCCCCCCCGTTCCCCCCCTCCCGTATTCTCCAAGAGGAGATAAAATTTTTATTTTCCCTATTATAAAAGTGCTACATGACTATAACAGAAAATACCAAGAGTCAGAAGATGAAAACAAAACCCACCCATAATCTTATCACCAGATAATTACTTCCTAACATTTTGCTTATGGCGTACTTTCTTTTCTCACAGCCTCTATGATCACACCTATGTAAAACATGTATACTTTACACAAATGGGATCATAATGCTTTTTAAACTTAAAATAATATTTAGTAATTTCTTCATGTGGAATTTTTTTCCTTCAGTATGATTTTAATGGTTGCGCAGCATGCTTGCTCTGTTGTGTATTCATTATTCACATTCTTAGCTAATCTAAACTTTTGCATTCTTTTTACACATGAGAATCCAAAAATTAAAATCACTTTTCTGTTTTGAAATCTGTGTAACTATTGCCCAACCAGACCTGTAGCCCATCCTAATGTCCAGCATTACACTACCACTTCATCTCAATCGCTGGTTGAGTGACCAGTGGTAAATAAAGCAGGTGCTTGTGTGTGTGTGTGTGTGTGTGTGTGTGTGTGTGTGTGTGTGTGTGTGTGTGTGTGTGTGTGTGTGTCNTGTGTCTGTGTGTCTGTGTGTCTCACAGCTTGTAGACATTGCACAGAACTTGTCAAGCTGGAGGAGCTGTGTAAACACTGAAATGACCTTTAGTCCAGCTGGCCTGTAACTTCTATCTCAGCATCAGGCTGCCCCAGGGGACCATTTGGGTATAATAAGCCTTTTGTTATCAATACACTTTAATCTCATCCTTGTACCAAGCCCACAAAGGTATGATAATGAGAACTCCAACTCTCCTGGACATCAGTGTGAAAAGTCTTTCCTCTGCAGGTTTCAGGAAGTGCTGAGAAGTCTTAGCAGAGCAACGCGCAAGGGGACAGAAAACAAGATTTTGGACCATCATTGGCTTCCCTGGATGCAAAAATTCTTTTGAGTAGTTGAATCTGGTAAGAATGCCTGCATTTTATTGGAGAGGGAAGGAGGTCATCCATTGCCTCAGAGATCTTGATGAATCGCTAAACCTTCATCCCTTTTTCTTTTCTTTTCTTTTCTTTCTTTCTTTTTTTTTTTTTTTAGACAAGGAAAGTTTGTTAAAGTAAGAGAAAGGTCAGCTGGGCAGTCTGCTGCTGGAAACTACCGCAAACTACTGCCTCACCCCTTTTTCTTAGATTTGAAAACCCATTTTGCCAAATTGTTACCTTTTGCTTTCATAGTCTTGAGAAACAGGGACCTCAGCATGCTAAAGATGTGAGGGAAGTGGCTTGCTATTGTGTCATGAGAGCCTCATCATTGACCTTGCATGATTATGCTAAATTCAGTGGGAGCTTTTAGAAAACGTAGAATCCTTTAAAATGTAATTATTGGTTCAGCTCTCCAAGGTTCACTTGCCTTCTGAAGGCAGACAAGACATTTGCTTTAACGTTCAAATCAGATTTTAATCATTAATGAAAAATAAATAGCGCTGATGGGTTCAAAAAGAATTGTAACATGTTGTCAGTGATTCTGGCAATGAAATGGAGTAGTGAGACACAGGCGGTACATCACCGAAATCCAAGTCAGAGGTGGAAACTCTAATGTTAAGTCAAGGGCCACTGTTGACTTGTATAAGGTGCCAGTAATGGTAATCAATTCAGCAGAGCAAAACTAACAAAAAAAGAGCATGATTTTGTACCATGTCTGTTTGTTACACAGGCTTCTACTGCCTGACCACATTTACACATACAATTTGCTTGTAGAAGCTCTGGGGTTGGGAGGTCCAGCTGTTAGTCATCCATTTTGAATTGTCTTCTTTGTGCAGAAGCTGTCTTAGGTAATAGAAAGGCTTATATTATAGAAACCAAAGCTTTGAGGAAGGACTACCTATCCCGGGTTTGAAGTTTGCTACTGAAACAACACCTAATGACCAGTAAACCTCTTTGGATCATCAAAGTTTCAGAGGCATATCTTCTATGTGCTTCCTGACTCTTGGGAGCTGACAATGAAAATTGGGACCAAGATAGAGAACTAACTTGTTTTGCCCTAAATTTGAAGTTGCCTCTGCTGGTGGTGGTGAAGGTGGTCATGGTGGTGCCAAATGGATGAGGAAAGACTTCCAATAACCAGGAAATTTGGGAAGATGGTCCTGTCTTTGTCCTCTCCCAGTTAAGCCCTATTCCTGAAGTGTTTGCTGGTAGACTGAATTTTAACCTTTACTTCAGGGGTTGCAAAATAAAATGGCTACAAAGACCAGGTAGTAACTTAGATGGATAAGGCCCAATGGGTAGGGACTCTGGCAGGTTGGAGAAGGCATGCCCCATCTAAAAGGAACAGCAACTACTAAGTTTTATGAAACTCTTGGCACATTGGAATGCTGGCTCAGTGTTGCCATATTTTATAAAATACTTTGAAAGGAAATTTGAAGTTTCAGATTTGTAAGTATGGACTCTATACATAAACTGTAAGCTCTATCTTTTATCTTGTCAACTAAGTGAAATTAAAACAAATAAATTGCCTGGGCCATACCAAACACATCTGTTTGCTGCCAGTTTACAACTTTTGTGAGTAGCAGCATCTTAGTCACATATTACTCATTTGGGGGGCAAGTCTTGAGATTCCAATCCCATCTCACTGCTCAGGTTTCCTAATGTATTGATAAGAAAATGGGCTCTCAAGTTCCCGCCTGTGATTCCAATAGTCTTTTAATAGTAGTCTTATATAAACTCCTTTAAGGATAGTAAGGAGCACAGAGTCTGTGCCATTTTGGAACCCAATGATAAATGCCAACATTTTGAGCACTTACTATATTCCATGAAACAGATAAGCTATTACTTGTATCGTCTCCTCTTATTTTTACAAAAACTCTGTGAAATAGGTACTAAAATTATTATCATAATCCTATTTACAAATGGGGAAACTGAGGCTAATTTTGGGGGATTTCCCAAGTTGCAGTAAGTGGCAGACATGAGATTTAAATTCTGGAGTCAGACTTCAGAATCCATGTTTTAATTACCATATTATGCCTCTTTCTACATTATATGGATTTTTAGCTTCTATAGTCCCAGGGAAAAATGATGAATTCTCCTCCTAAAATATCTTAAGGAATCTGTAAGGACATTTTCTGCTTTGTAGAATATGGGGATTATCTTTATCCTTATCATTATTCTTTACCCTCATCCTTTGATACGGGTTAGCAAAATACATGGGATCCTTCTGTTTACCAAAGAGGGAAATTTTCCTAATACCTGGCTTGAGACTAGAGATGTCAACCCCCTTTTCCATGCCATTAGCTCATCAGTAGTATTTGAAAGTTAGAACATAGAGTTTAAAGGTCAAAGATATGGGTTTCACCTCCATGTGGACAAGATAATTTTACTTAGTCCGTGATCACAGAGAACAACCCTCACTCCAGCCATCTCACACGTACAAGCAGTGTGAATGGATAAGTCATCCCTGTTGTCAGAAGTACGCCAACTTAGACCCATGTACAGACCCATAAACAGCATCATCACCCTCAATGAAAGCAGAAATGATGTAGCCAAGGAATGAAAATAGATTTTAGCTTAGCCACCAATGCCAAATGATGAGTGATGGCTGCCAGGATGAGAACTGTGCTGAGAAGGATTTGGAAACTCTGTTTGAACTTATTAAAGAGTGCTGTGATTGATTGGTCTTGCCTGCTACAGGCTTGGAATATGGTACTAGTGGCAAATGTACTCTGTGCTTCCTGGTATAGTCTATTCATATGAAAGAGCTAAGATGTCGTAACCTTGGGCAGCTTGAAGCATGTGCATTTTAATTTGTGATTCTACCTTTTTCTGCCCATCCCATATTTTTTCTTCTATTTCTCCCTCTCTCTCTCTCCCTCTCTCTCTCTCTCTCTCTCTCTCTCTCTCTCTCTNCTATTCATATGAAAGAGCTAAGATGTCGTAACCTTGGGCAGCTTGAAGCATGTGCATTTTAATTTGTGATTCTACCTTTTTCTGCCCATCGAAACATATATGATGATCTTCTCTCTCTCTCTCTCTCTCTCTCTCTCTCTCTCTCTCTCTCTCTCTCTCTCTCTTTTTTAGGAAAAATGGCCAAACAAACCTTCTCCACATTAGAGACCTTTCTGATTTTCCTCCTTTTGATGATGACTGCGATCACGGTGGCCCTTCTCAGCCTCTTGTTTATCACCAGTGGGACCATTGAAAATCACAAAGGCAAGTGTAATGGGCTCTCTTGGATGCTGTTCCTAGGTTTGTAGGAAATTTATTGATCACTGGGGACACTAAGGCAAGAAAGAGTATCTGCTGATAATGCTGATAACAGGACAGTTCAACATGCACTTAATCTGCCTGGGATAGCCACGTAACCTTTGCATTAATTGCTCTTTCTGCATTGATATCATTTTTTATGAAGTTTACCTTTGCCCCCAGAGTTGACAGCATCTCACATGGACTTATTTGTCTCTCACTTTTCCACTGATCTAAGCACAGTTCAGGATTCTTCAAGGCCCAGTAATGTGAGCTTTTGCCCCGAGCTCCTCTCTTTCTCTTTGTCTCTTTTTAGCATCATCTTCTCATGGGGGCAAAAGGAAAATGGAAGACCCAGTGAATATCATTTCATCTTTAAAAAAGACTTAGAGAAAGGAGTCTTGAATTCAGATTGTTACAGGGGCCAATCAAGTTCTGTAAATGAGGTGGAGTGGGGAGGTGAACCTGGGTGGGGCAGCTGGGATTTTGGTGAATAGGGTCCACAGGTCCTCCCGAGTGCCAGCTCTTTGTTGTTATGATATCTCATGGACCCAGATCTCCCGAGTTTTTCAGAGATGCTAGACATTGGGACATCTCTTATTATTTTTTATAATGTTAAAAATGAATTTCATTTTTGAAAACTATCTAGCTCCATGGGTCTTTGATGAAGCCTCTACTTTGATGTTAGGTTATATACTTGTTAAATAAATAGAGAAGACAGTGAGGATTGAATGTTTTGCCCAAAGTTAAGGGAGGGATGGCCTCAGGCCAAGTAGAGAAGGAGATCGCATCTTTTTTATACCTCAGTTTTCACTTTTGTGGCTTTTTCTCTTTTCCAGTGTATTCTCTGCCATCTCTCTGTGCTTTGAATTTATTGTAAACACAGAGGGACAGAGATCGTTTTTGCCAGCAGTGGGCAGAGCAGGGTCTTGGACTGCCAGAAATAAAGGATCTGAAGGGTATATTTAATTTTAGCTCTTAAAATGAGAGAATCAAGAGGCTGAGACTCAGGAAGGTTATCAATAGTAGAGTAACTGTTCTCATAGTAGAAGTTGCTGTTTATTAAAGGGTCACTATGTGTTAAGCACTGTAGTCAGGAGTCTACATAATTTTCTCATTTAATTCTTCTAAAATCCTGTGAAGGTATGTGCTTGTGTTAGTACCACTTTACAGAGTGGAAGCTGAGACTCTGAGATGACAAAGAACTTATCCTGGGCTATGTGACTAGGTTTTCCTTTGGTTGACATCACATTCCTACATTGGTTATCAACGAGGTACTAGCAAAAGTGTCTGCTTCCTTCTTTGCAAGATTTGATGTCTTGTTAAAAATGTGGGCTTGGGGATGAGAAGACATGAATTCTAACTCCTTCTGGAATGTAGTTGAAAGAGCATCAGGCTCTGAGTTGGAGGATTTGGTTTGGGCACCTGATTAATCATATGCTTTCCATGAAATCTTGGCTAAGTCACTTCTCTGAGCTTTAGTATTCTCAAATGTAAAACTGAGGCTATTACATTAGGTGATCCCTAAGTTTTTTTGAGCTCCAAAATTCTAGAATCCCAGAACGAGTTAGTTGTTAATCTCTGGCCTAAGTACTTCCTGACCACTAATGCCTTGTGACACTGGCATTTGTTGCCTTGGCCACCCCTGGCTGTTGTCTACAGTGGAAACAAACAAACAAGTAAAATGTATATGTAAGATGTCTAAATATGTAAATAAAACCAAAGCTATAAGCCAGCCTTCGCTTTAAATTTTTTAATATGCATTAACATATTTATTGTTCAAAACAACCCTAGGAGGTAGGGTATTATTATTATCATCTCCATTTTATAGATGAGAAAATTGGGGTGAAATGGCCTAAGTAATTTCTTCAGCTAGTAATTGGTAAAGTCAGTTTCCAAATCCAGATTGTTTGTTCCTGGCACCTGCTCTCTGAGTCTATGCCATTCTGTCATATCATATAATATTGATATGAGAATCATTAACAAAAGATAGAACTATGTCAACAAGTGTAGTCTAATGATCTAGGTTGCGTTAAGAATAAAAGTCTTTTAAAAAAAGAATAAAAGTCTTGAGATGATTGAGGTGGGTCTGAGCAGGGGAGAGACAGCTGGGGCTGGAAATGAAGGGTGGAGTTGGACCTGAGTATGGTGAAAATGAACCAGCTCTGAAGTGGGTAGTGGAGACTGGTTGGTGGAGCAGAAAGGACTGAGGGCTCTGGATGGAGAGGAGAGTAGAAACAAATCCCCAGAGGCTGGATTTAGTAGGCTGTGTGCCAGGAACCTGGCACCTGGTTTGTTGGGCTGGTACAGATGTGCAGGGTGAGTGAATGAAGGGCAACCGGTCTGACAAAGAATGGCACGTCATAAGAAGCTGAACGACATTTGACAGAGGCCTTGATTGTTCGGCTGAAACATCTCCAGCTCAAGAAAAAGGTCCTCCTGAGGACTGATATAAAACAAGTGCCTGAGATAATTGTCATCATAGATCTTACATATAAGAGAATATACAAAGATTTCTTTTCCTTGGGAACCTGAACCTATGTGTTCTAATTCATGGCCGACAAATAAGTGGGTTGAATTGTTGTTTCTCAAATATCTTATTCTGTTTTTAGATTCAGGTTTTCCATCTACCCAGGGCCCCACAGTCACCCAGGTGTCCCCATTGACGAGTACCCCAGAGCCTACTCTGACGAGTACCCCAGAGACGACTTTGATGAGTACCCCAGCACCTACTCTATTTACAAACTTCACTGGCTACCATATTGGTGTTGGGCGAGCTGACTGCACAGGCCAAGTAGCTGATATCAACTTGGTAGGTAAATCATGGGCTCATAAAAAAGGCTGTGAAACAAATAATTTTATTATTTTTCATTCTGCTTTTATTCCTGATTATTACATCATCATCTTCTCACTTTTCTATTCACTTAACTGCTGTCTAACACTATGAATATTGTGTGATGAGGAAGAAAGGAACTTTTAGTTAACCTCAACTCTCTTGTAAAGACTGGGGGCTGTTTTTTTTATGAAGTGGAAGGGCTGGTAAACGCAAATGCTGCAGGGGATGGGCAGGTGCCATAAATGATTGAATAGGCCAGAGTGAGATGATAAATATCTAGTGAGTCCTCAATTTGGGGACAGTAGTAAGATGTGAGGACTGTGGTGCAACTAGAAAGTGCATGGCTCTAACTGATTGTTGCCCATAAGAATGTGGACTCAGGTTGCTGTATATAACAGTTTTTTCAAGAGAAGCCAGGGCAATCTCTGGGTTGAAGATTTGAGGATTTAAATCTCTCAACTGGAAAATGTAGGCAACTCTAGTTAGTTAAAATGGGAAACCTAGCATGGGCCTTCACTTCTACTGTGAAAGCCACGTAGAACCCTTCAGTGTGTTATGTGTGGCCTACTGGGGGCTAGCATGCAACTTCTTGGCTTTGACGGTGGTCACACTGTTTATGTCGACCCTTCCCTAGGAAACCAGAGCATGAGGTTGTCTAATGGGATTTTCTCCCTCCTACCAAATCATCTTTAGATTCTAGGAATTATAGTGGACCCTTGAACAATGTAAGGGTTAGGAGCCCTAACCCTGTGCAGTTGAAAACCCATGTGTAACTTTTGATTCGCCTAAAACTTAACTATAGTTGGCACTTCACATCCACAGATTTAACAAAACGGTATTTTTGAACTGTGGTTGCAAATGTGAAAATACTGTTGCCAATCCACAGTTGATTGAATCTGTGGATGTAAGGGCTGACTGTATTTATTGAAAAAAATCCATGTATAAGTGGGCCCGCACAGTTCACAACGGAGCTGTTCAAAGGACAACTGTATTTCCTGCTGTCTGTTTTGAAAAGTGACTCTGGGATGTGAACTTTAAATAAACACTCACACGAGGGTAAAGCAAGCAGTAGAGGGAGCATTCTGAAGACCTGGCTATACTATAAGGGTAGGTTTTATGACATGGTGAAAGATGGGGCTTGGGATAGGTGTATTTGTTCTGATTTGGCTTAGGGAGGCACAACATAGGAAAAGCCAGGGGGAGGTACCCTCACTAAAGATTACTTAATCATAAAGAAACAATTTTCTTCAGGAAAAAAGAAGGGAGGGGGGCACACGTCAACAACCAAAGTGAGGGAGCCTTCAATCTTCAGGATGTTCCTGGGCAATGTGGATGACAGGGGAACTATTTCCTTGTGTAGTACCCTAGGCTGGAGAAAACGTTTTGTTTCAAAGAACTGAGAAGCCCTGAAAGATCTCTAGTGTAGCAATGAATTTCTGAGCCAGACCAGTTTCTTCCTCAACCATGGGTCAGCTTCTGCTAAGCTGATCACTATTTTGCCTTTCCATGCTTCTACCAAGAAGAGTAAAACCTCTCTTAGGATGTTGGGTTTAGAAAACACATATCTCACTCAGAGCTACAGTGTCACATGGATTGTTTTTCTTTGTCTTTCCTAAGTAGTCTCTTCATATATGGCTGAGCCTGATTTCTGGTAGCAGGGGAGTGAGGCAGAATGGTTCTGAGTCTCTCTTCCTTTTTAGATGGGCTACAGCAAACGTGGCCAGAATGCACGAGGCCTCCTTACCAGGTTGTTCAGTCGTGCCTTCATCATGGCGGAACCTGATGGGTCAAATCGAATGGCATTCGTCAGCATTGACATAGGCATGGTATCCCAACGAATGAGGCTGGAGGTAAGTAATTAATGTGAGAAAGAAATGACATGATTGAAAAGAAATGTCTGTTGGTAATAGTGATAGTAAATAAGCCCTCCTGTTTTCTCATACAGTAAGTTCCTACTACCCTCAACATTATAGGCTCTTGCCGATCCAGCACACAATAATATGAGAATGAGCCTCATTTTTGCATTCGAAGTCATCTTAGTCAAAATTTACTTTCAGCTCTGCTGGTGGCTCATCATCATTATTAATGCTAATTTTCTTGAAGCTTATTATGTTCCAGATGACCTTCAAATACATTCTCTCATTTAGTCTTCTTCCTTGTTAGAATTCTGAGAGTGCCAATTAATCGGTAACCCTTCCCTCAAGTTTTTAGACAATTGAGAATAGATACAAGGAACCAGACGAGAATTAAAATACACTGAAATGAGGTTGGCCATAAATTGCTGAAGATGGGTAATAGGCCCATGGGGGTTTCATTATACTAAACCGATTATTTTTGTATTTGAAATTTTCCATAATAAAAAGTTAAAAGAATATGTCAGCTCTCTTAATCTTTAAACTGTATTGTAGAATATGGCAGACTCTTTTATGATTTTTCTCTAAATTTAGATCTTATTACTCACCTGTGGGTGAAGTTAAGTTTAGCAATAAGGTGCATAGTTGGGGTGGGGATCCTGGGTTACCTGATACTTGTAAGGGGGAGAGAGAGAGAGAGAGAGAGAGAGAGAGAGAGGAAGAAGAAAGAGAAGGGAGAAATAGTGATTGACATGGGCTTCCAAGTCTATCTCTCTAAGCCAATTTCTAGACACTGACATAGTTATAATTTCTGCATAAGATCATGTCACAGAAAGAGAATATGCTTCCTTAATGTCTGCTTGCATATTCATGAATGTGAGAAAGAAAAGAGAAAAGTACACAGAACAGTGACCATTAAATGTCCATTAGTCAGTGTCATGTTCTATCAATAATCTCATCTTTTAAACACTTTGCTATACTCCACTATATGAAGTGAACAATTAGAAGAGTGACAGGAGGGCCTAAAAGCATTTCTCCAATCTCACTTGCTCTTGGAGAGTGGAATGGAAGCCTCTTCTTTTTATGGAAAAATTTGAAGTTGGGGATGAAGTATTTCCCCACCTGTACACTTACAACAAAACTGAAGTGGGTCTATTGTTGTCTCCATTTTATGGATAAGGAAATTGAATCTTAAAGAAGGTTATTGACTTTTCCAAATTCACACCATTAGCAAATGATAAAGCTTGTTTTTGAACACATGTATATCTGGTCCTAGAGTCCACATTCTTAAAAATGACATTATTCTATTATCTTGGAGGGGAAAAAATGCACTGATAACCTACTTTGCCAGCCATTTCATGGGACACACAGCTAAGTAAATCATAAACCATGTCCCCTATGAGCTCACTACTTAGTTTGGGGGTAAGAGAAAGGAGTGTAACAGAAATATGCAAATAACTATAATTCACTGAAGTAAAAACACAGTGATGAGTTAGTTATCTATTACTGAGTAACAAATAGCTCCAAAGTATAGTGGCTTCAATCAACCAATATTCATTATCTCACACATTCTGTGGGTCAAGAACTCAAACCTGACTTAGCTAGGAGGTTCTGGCTTAGGGTATCTTGAAATCAAGATGTTGGCAAAGACTGCAGTCATCCGAAGGCTTGACTGGGGCTGGAAGATCCACTTCGAAGAAGATTCACCCATATGGCTGTTGGCAGAAGTCCTCATTTCCCCACTGTCCATATCCTCATGACACAGCAGCTGGATTCACTCAGAGTGAGTAACTCAGGAGAAAGAGCAGGGAAGAAGCTACCATGCCTTTCCTAATCCAGGCTCAGAAGTTGCACAGCATCACTTTCACCCTGTTCTATTCATGGGAAGCAAGTCACTAAGCCTATTTCACACTCAGGGAGAACAAAGTTAAGCTTTACTTCTAGAAGACAGGAGTATCAAAGGAGTATAAAACCCATACAGTATTTTAAAACTACCACATGGGGAGTCAGAAAACAGAAATTTTCAAAGAGGAAGTGACACTTGAATGGGCAGAATTTGAAATGGTTAACCTTGGGAAGGAGAGCTCTCAAATGGAGAGGACAGCATGAACACAGAGAAGCACAAGGGAGGAATGTAGACTCTTCTTTGAAAGGACAGAGATTAGTTCTATTAGGGCACATCTAGGCATGTAATTGGAGATGTATCTGGAAGGTGTGTTGGTCATAGTTGTAGAGGTCCTGGAATGCCAGGTTGTTTGTAATTTTGTAGGTGATGGGGATTCTTAGAAAACTTTTCCCTTAGAATGATTAATTAGATAGTGATGTTTGAGGTGGTTTGGAATAGACTACAACTAGAGGTGAGGACACAAATTGGCAGATTCTTTGAATTAATATCACCCCATTGGTGAGGGTCCAGTTGGGAAAACACTAACCACACTAGGCATTTCAAACAGAGGGGATTTAATACAGGGGAATTTTATAGGGTGTTGGGCAGCTGAAAGAGCTATAAAGGGAAGCTAGGGTTGCAGGAAGGATTTTAACTTTGCCTGGCAATTTCCCCTATGCCATGTGAGACTGGCACAAAAGTCCTGAACCAGTAGGGTAGCAGTGAGACTACATGATGGTAAGAGGGCAAATGAAATGCTCATGAGATTTGATGATGAATAGACATAAAAGCTAACACTTAACATAGTTCCCATGATGAGTCAGGCACTGTTCTAGAGTATATATAATTAATAAATATGTTTATGTATATTAATTAACTTAATCTTCCAAACAACTGTATGAGGGAGGTAATATTATGTCATTTGACAGATTGGGAAACTGAGTTGCAGAGGATCAAGTAATTTGTCTAAGTTAGGACTTGTACACAGTTAGGACTGTCAGAGCTGGGATTCAAACGTAGGCATCTTGTTGGTAAGAGCTCATGCTCATTATTACTGTACTATACTGTTTTCCTGAGGAATCAATGATGGTAAGATGGTTCTGATTGGGAAATAGTGGTGTCATTTGTAGAAATAGGATAGTTAAAAGGCAGATTTTGGGGTGGAGTGTGGAGGGGAGAGGGGTTTAATGTGTTGGGTTGTGGATACTGTCAAGTCAATAGTGGGCACCATTTAACCTTCACTTTCTAGTTTTACTTCCTCATGCAATCTGAGACCCAGCGGGAAGGCCTTTAAATGAACCCACTTAGTTATCCCAAGTTAACCCAAGGGACGGTGTGAAAAAATAAATGTAGCTAAACAAGTTCCATTAAGCTTACTTATAACACCTGGTTTTAGGCAGGTTCTCAGTCTCAGATTTTTAAGATTGATGAAATTTGCAGCGTGGAATAAAGATTAAGGATGATCCCTGAGCAGTGAAGCAGGACAGAAAAACAGAATTACTTTCCAAATCTCTCTGTCATATTTTCAAGAGTGTCAGCAATAGAAAATGAAGTGGGAACTGAAGACAAAGAAGTGAGTAGTAGACATTAATATAACTTCTTTGCTCTATATTAAAATACCCTTCCTTTCATGAAGTAGAAAACATGCTATTTATAATGGCTATTTGCAGGCGTTGGTATTAGATGATTGAGTTTTTAATTTATTTTTCTTTTCTTTTCCCTGGAAGTCCCATGTGTCTAATTTTAAATTAGAGCAGTTTAGGGTAAAATTTCTGTGAGCTGTTGGCAATCGTTCTCTTTTGTTTTAAAATTGAATATTCATAATTTCTATCTTGTTAAGAGCTTGCTTCTTGAATAAACCTAAAGAAATACACTTAATTCTAAAATCCTGACATAATTTTTTATGAATAAAATTGGGGTAAGGTAGGGGAGCTTTAAAGTCAACCCACGGTTCTTTTTTTCACTACCTTCTTGTTTTGGCTACAGAATTGTAAGAATACTAACCTTTGACTTTAGTTAAGCTTTCATGGTTTCCCTTCGTTGACGGTTCCCCCTTCTCCTTACAGATATTTCTTCTCCATGAGTTCAGTAGCTGCTGTGTGAAGAATATGTAAGAGTGATGACGGGTTGGGGCTGGAGTTAGGATCAAACAGAAGGAATATGGAAACTTATTGAGGTGGAGAATGTGGGTTACTTTGTCAGAATGATGTTAGTCAGATTATATCATAATCCCTTTCCACATTTGCTCGGTGTCACAAGATTGCTTCTCCACATGAACTTGATAACCTAGTAATTGGTGTTTGAAACATGGAGAAGTTAATGAGGCGAGATGGTTTGTAAGATCCTCTTCCTGATTCAATGATCCCATGACTAGAATGAGGGTGGTGTAGCTCTTCACCTAAAACAGAAGAGGTTGAATAGATGTCTTTGTGTGTGTTAAGTATACAGCACAGAAGTTGCTGCTACTCCCTTATGTACCAGTGATATCCTGGAACTGGTTTGTACCAGCTCCAGATTGTTAAACATTCAAGAACTTTGTGAGCTGGTTATTAAATTTTTGGTAGCTTGAAACTAACTGGTGGGAGTATTTATACCACAGAAATTGGCAAATAATACAATTGTGGGCTTTCTTTTTTTCCAGAGAAAGTTTATCAGCATACCACTGCCTATGTCATACTCAAGGTAGATAGCACTGCTAATAAAAAAAGTCACTCTTTTTTGTTAAGCCCAGGTTTGGATTCAGAATCTATCTGAACACACTGTGCCTGAGAGCAACCACCAATAAATAGGACTGAGTGCATGAGTGAAACAGTATTTGCCATCTGTGCCATAAAGGAGTTTTCACCATTGTTTCTTGTATTAGGTGATAATATATTACATTGGGGAAGGTTGGCATGGGTTTGAAGCTTTTGCTGATTTTAATGATTTTTGACATAAAAATGTCAAAGCGCCTTTCACAAAGAAGCTACAATAATACCAAATTTCAGATTGCCACTGATTAAAGCATAATCAGAAATAGTTACTCAGCAACATCACTAATTTTCTCTCTGTTGTTTCCTTGATGTGTATGTACCACACAAAGACACTAATTATGCATTTAGATGTTCATTGATTAATTAAGTCAATGAACATTTACTGAGTCTCTTTGTATTAGTCATGCATTGCTGTACAACAAGCCTATCCAGAAAACTCAGTGACCGAAGGCAACAATAATCCTGTATCATTGCTCAGGATTTCTGTAGGTCAGGAAAGCCAGACAGGCTGGGTTGGGTTATTCTGACTTATGTAAGAACAGAAGTCACATATCTTCACTTCTGTGTCATCAGGTTGAATTCACTGTTGGCTGGGCTGCAGTTGATTGAAGGCTTGGCTGAGGCCTCTCACCCACCTGGCTAACACTGACAAGATGTCTCCTTCCCACATGTACCTCTCCACAGGATTGCTGGAGTGTTCTTAGGTCATAGTGCTGGCTTTTCTGAGACCAATAAGTGTGATGGTCTGTGTCAGGGAATATTGAGTGCTTCATTTGGGGGAAGTTAGGCAGTTGAGTGAAGAGGCCTTTGCATTGTTTGTTCACTGCTCCAGGATGCTTTCCCCCCAGGTACTGCATGACCAGCTTGTCCTCTTCATTTAAACCTCTGGTGAAAGATAAACTCTTTGGGAAGATCTTTCCTCACTAACACCCATCATGCTCTTTTTCTTTACTCAGCAATATATTGCTTCATAGCATTTATCACTATATAATGTTACATGCTTGTTTATTATTTTCTCCCTCATTAGAATAAAAACTTTTCCAGTGTAGGAACCTCATATATTCCTAATGCTTAGAAGAAGGTCTGAATATTAATGCTATGTGTAAAATGATGAATGGGTAAGAGCACTGGATCTTATAGTGAGAGAGACTTGGATCTGGATTCAGGCTGTGCCATTACTTCCATAGGCAAATCACTTCTGTACACGTCAATGTTCTCAGCTACTAGATAGGGTTAAATGACATAATGTATGTAACACCTAGCATTGTGTGTGCTTGCACATTGTAAGAATCTCTAAAATGTTAACTATTGCAATTATTGTTGTTGTTACTATGATGATATACTCAAGCTATCTATACTATATAAACTATCTACTATAGATGTACTAAGATGATATATAGAGTGAAGGGCTGCTTGACTGGGATGTCATTGATATGGGTCAGTGATTAGGCTAATCAGCCTTTTCTCATGCTAAACACCTATATTATTCCTCTTCTTAGTCCAGTTTTCTTTCTTCTTTCTTAAAGGTCCTGAAGAGACTTCAGAGTAAATATGGCTCCCTGTACAGAAGAGACAATGTTATCCTGAGCGGCACTCACACACACTCAGGCCCAGCAGGATATTTCCAGTATACTGTATTTGTAATTGCCAGTGAAGGATTTAGCAATCGGACTTTTGAGTACATGGTCACTGGCATCATGAAGGTAGGCAAAGAACCCCACAGGTAGCTATTCTTTATCATGGCTCGTAGTGTTTTAGGAATGGTTTGGTATGCAAGGTCCCTGTAGGATCTTGGTCTGAGCACAGTCCTATCACCTACCTCTCTTTTCCCTTCCTGACTCCTGGTAGCTTCTGATCCTGAGCTGTGGGCTGTTAAGCCTGGGGCACTGACTGATTGGGAGTGGAGGGTTCCTATGGCAGTAAGCCTCATGCAGTCATCTAAAGATACTGAAAACATTTTGTATGTAACCTTTATAAATTTTAGGGCCCAACATGGTCTGTGCTCTGCACAAAGTCATGTGGAAAGAAACCCATCAAGGAACCAAAAGTAATTACAAACAATTCCAACCTTTCCTTGTATTTCCCAACCTTTCCTTATATTTCCCAATCTTTCTTTGTATTTCCCAAAGAGCATAAAAGGTGACCCAATGTTTAAATAAATGCACATCCTCATTTCTCATGTCCTCTGCAGCAGTTAAGACTGACATGGTGCTCCTACCAGGACCCCCAAACTCTTCTCCCATTCAACTCGTCCTTTTTTTACTCCTCTCTCTCCTGTCTTCCAGCTTATTATTTTCTTGTATTGGATTCTTGCTACTGCTTTCTTCTTCATTCCTTTGTCTTTTGAGTTTAGTCTCTCATTACTTTATCTTGTAAAGTCACCCCAAATCCTGGATCTAGCTGGCAAAGGCAGATATTTCTTTACAACACTGTTTTTCAAATCGTGGCTAGCAATCTATGAATGGCTTTATGAAATCAGTTGCATGGGTTGCATTGAAAGCATTAAAAAAAAACTAAAATAATTTGGAAAGTATTGAAGTGCACAATACACAGTAAGGGTATATATAATTTGTTTTGAAAACTTTTGTTTTAGGATATATATGTTGATGTGTATTAAGTTATGATGAAAACTGGATTGTTTACTGTGCTTCCTAAAGTTTGAAAAAGCCTGCCTCAGAAGGTGGTGGGATGGAGCGGGTAGCAAGGGTGGAAATACCTACATATTATTAACAGATTCTGTCCCAGTGCTGTAAGAGTCAAGTCTCCCATTTGGGACTTCTGAAATGGCAGATCGCGCCTGACTCAGCAGTCCCGAGAGTCTCACGTGCTAATCAGCACTGTGCTTCTCTATACACAGAACTTTCTCTGTCTCAACCCTGAAGGCTACATCTCCTTACCTCCAGAGTGACACCAGCCAGACCTGTGGTTCTTCCGCTTTCATCCCATAGTGGGAACAGGTTGGAGACAAAGGAAATTGTCCAAGGGTCTCTCCCGTTTACGCGTGTATTGACTAAGTCACTATCCCCACCAGGATTTCGAACTCTACAACTCTCTTTTCTTTAACCCACAGAGCATTGAGATAGCACACACAAATATGAAACCAGGCAAACTCTTTATAAATAAAGGAAATGTGGATGGTGCACAGATCAACCGAAGCCCTTTTTCTTACCTTCAGAATCCACAGTCAGAGAGAGCAAGGTGAGGGGGAATTATCAAAATGTAATCATGTTTCCTTTAGGAAGCAGCAACAAAACCTAAGACTAGATTAATTATTTGAATATGGTAGAATCCTAAAAAAGTATTAAAACTAAAATAACTTAAAACCATATTTATAATCTAAGACATGTTTATTTTTTATTAAATATTTATTTATTTTTATTTTTAAATAATGCAAAATTAACATTGAAACACACACCAACCTATGAATGTATCTTCCTACTTTGAGGGCTGTGGGAGTCAGTGTGAATATTTGAAGGACTCAGGCTTTGGAATCTGACACAATTGTGGTCTCAGCTTTTCACTTCCTAGTTATGTGACCTTTAAGATGTGTATATTGTTGATGATAAGTGATTTACTTATCTTAATTTATTGGCTCTCAGTTTCTTCATCTGTAAAATAAAGATAAAAATGTGCATAACAAATATTTGTTAAATTAATGAATAGCTCTTTTTATTATGTTACTTACAAGAAATTATCTTCATCTAGGAAAATATGGCAAGAGAGAAGAGATAAAAGAATAATAATTCCCAAAAAAAACCTCAAAAGAAGAACAAGAAATAAAACTAGAATAATTGAATGGAACAACTGAGGGAGATGATTATTTTGTCTTTTTATTTATTTATTTATTTTTAAGTGATGAGCCAGGTTTGAAACAGAAGAGAAGTACTTGGCGACTATGGCAGTATAAAATAATATCTCAGTTCAACTTGACCACTTGACATTTTACATTTGTCTGCATATTTTTCAATAGCTTTCAAAAAAGTTGATTTTTAGAAAATATAGTTTGATGTCCCTTGAAAGGACATAAAAGAACACTTTGGGTTGCAGGTCATGAATGGTTTTGATTTTGCATATTCCCCACTCTTTTTAAGAGAGTCCATTAAAATTTGATATGTGTAGAAATTTCAAAGAGAAATCCTTTTTGTAAGAAATACATGTATATAATATTGCATATATTGCATAAAAATATATATTTCATCTCCAGCTAGCTGACCTAATGCCCTTCACTCCAATCACAGTTGCAAACCATTTCTTTAGCGGAGGAATGAGGTTCAGGATGCAATTCGTAAGACTGTACAGCACACCGGGGAGCATCGCTTACTGAGAGGCGATTTGCAGTTTGTTTCTGTGCCAACTTCTACTGTTTGTCACACACGACGGCCCATCTCTAACATAAAACTGACTAAATTTCTTTATTTTTGTGACTAGGTATTCTTCAGATACAGACAAGGAAATGATAGTCTTGAAAATGGTAGATTTGAATGGAGACGACCTGGGCCTTATCAGGTATTAACTTTTTTTTGGTTTTGTTTTTAATTCTGTCTGGATGACTTTCCTTAATTACAAGGTGGAAGTGGAGAAAAGGCTGAAACAGAGGCAGAGGAGGCTGAGAATAAATGGAGTTGTTAAAGAGTCCAAACTCAGACACATCTGAGGTCCCTCCAGTCCCGTGGGCTCTAGGACAAAGGGGCTCAGTTGCTCAGGGCTTAGTTCCTCACCTGTAAAACCAGGCTAATAACGGGATTATATTGGGGGGTCTGGGTGAGGACGTTCAGCACAGCATCTGGCATATGAACAAACACTCGCTAATTATTAGTGCTTATGGCTATATCAAGATCTGATACGTGGAACTTCTATGATAGTGGACAATTATCTCTTGGTAAAATGAAAAAACAATCTGATCAACCAGAAAAATAAATATGAATTTGAGATTATTTACCTGTGTTTTCCTAAAAGGATTAAGTCTAACTAGGACAATGCTCATTAGTTTTGAAAGCAGAATTGAGACCACCTAAAGGAAGCAGATGAGTTAAAATTACAGCTTGACACAGATTTTAGCATCTTTTTATACATAAGAAAATAGGTGGATTTTATTTTCTTTGAAAAGAAGGCATTTGCATTAATATGTGATTTTGGTTGCTGTAATTTGGTCGCAGGAATTGACTGGGTGGGTAACAGTGCCAGACACCTTGATGTGCGGAGTTCCAAATGACACAGAAATGCCCTCAGGAAGTAGATGACAGACCTTGGGTGTGGGAACCAAACGAGTCAGATTCACGCTGGCTCTCATCCTCCTTAGCTATGTTACTTTGGCTAAGTTACATAGCTGCTCCGTGTCTCAGTTTTCTTCTCTCTAAAACTGAGGGACAGGGGGTGACTGGTTAGCTCAGTTGGTTAGAGCGTCGTGCTGATAGCACCAAGGTTGCTGGTTCAATCCCTGCATGGGCCACTGTAGCTGCGCCCTTCTTAAAAGAGTCAACTATGCTATTGTAGCATGAAAGCAATGTGTAACCAATGACCATGGCTGTTCCTCAATAAAACTAAAAAAAAAAAAAAATAGCTCTTAAAAATAAATAAATAAATAAATAAATAAATAAATAAATAAATAAATAAATAAATAAAACTGAGGGACAAAGTGAGTCCTTAGAGTGTTGATAATAAGTGTTAGTAAAGGTGGTGAGTTTCTGCCAGGTAGAATTATGAAATACCTAAGTGAAATGTTCTATGTGAGTAAAATGAACAGTAAATTAAAAGTAATAAGGGGTGAAGAGAAACATGAAGGACTACGACCCCCAGCGCAGATACCAGGGTTGGCTCTATAAGTAGGTGGAAAACAGCATGGTGGTGAGCAGGTTTTAGCTTTTAGACGTCGCTTTTAGGACTTGGGTTCAACTCCCAGCCCTGCCACTTAACCCTGGGGCCGAGGGAAAGTGACTTATCTACTTACACCTCAATTATTCTATTGGAAAATGGGAATAATAATAACTCATAGGGTGGTTTGAAGATTAAATGAGATAATGCATGCAAATCTCTAGGTCTGTGTCTGACATAGAAAAAAACTTTAATAATTTTAGCTAAAAGATAAGAGGTACAATAATATTATACCTCTTGTAAAAACTCCATTATTGGTATATCAGAGTGCTTGAAATTGTTAGCATTGGAGTTACTGCTTTGGGTTCAAAGTAAGGACACTAAAAGCTCCCTGATAAACTTTATTATGTGGGTTGATGTAATAAGACCCAATCTCCTATTATAATTAGTTCATTTACTGATTAGTTGCCACCTGGCATTTAACTCAATAGATTTCCCTAAATATCAGGCACTCAACTATGTGCTTGGAGAATATTATGATAAATAAGACTTGGGCCAGGAGGCAGACACAGGCTAGCATTCATACAATAAATCAGATGCCCATCAGTGCTATCACCTGGGAGTAAACAAATGTGGGAATTTAGAGGAGGGAGCACTGAGTTCTACTTGAGAGCATTGTGGAAGTCTCCAAAGAGAAAAAGACATTTCAATTGGACCTGAAGGAGCCGTGGAATTTCTCATAGAGTCATGAAAAAACCCTGAGTTGTAAGGCCAGAGTCAGGGTGTGGGTGAGAGATGAATCTGGAAAGGTAAGCTAGCTCTAGGCTGGGAGCACATTAGTGGGGAATTTGCTTAGGAGACAGTCAGGATAATAGCGTATATCTATGACTAGTTAGATGGAACATCCCAAATTTATTGAGAAAAGAAAGTGGCTTTTCCTTTATAGTTTTTACCTAAGTCTTGGCTGAATGACTGATACTATTTATGACTCCCTTTTATTAGTTTCTGATAAACATTTAACGATGCCAACAGATAACAATGCTATCCTTTTGCCCAGGTGTTCTTTGCTTCCTCACATATAACTATATAACATATCTAGAAGTCCTCGGGTCAACTGTCAAGGTTATAACAGTGCTTTTCCATCTGCTGTGCTTAATATTCTGCAGTAACTTGCCATTGTTTCTATAGCCACCATATGTTATCTTTGATCTAATGGCTCTTGCAGTTTCCTCTCTTGCATAGTGATAATTGCACTTTGAATACATTAAAAATGATCCAAAATATAAAGTCAAACCTGGGCTGCTAAGTAACTCAGCCACCACAGGTAGGTGCCTGCTCTTAGGTGAAATCCCAAAGTGTTTGAGGAATTTGGAGCACAGAATCTCAGAGTTGCAGAGCACATGGATCATCAGTTCAGACTTCAGCTAAGGCCTCAAAAGGTGAGGTGACCTGCCCAATGTCACAGCCAAGGCTATTTTCTTCACACTGAAAACCATATTGAAGTTCATAATTTATTCCTTCCTATTTTCAATTTTGTTTCCATTTCTTCACTCAACCAGTCTGTACGAGGCACTTACTATGTGCCATGTAACACTTCCCAGTCCTTAGAATGATGCCTTGAATTCAGGAATCAAGTACTTTGGAATCAAATACCTATGGCTGTGCTCCTTGAGCGAATCCCTTAAAATCTCTGAGAGTCAGTCTTCAGATTTATCAAATGTGGATGTAACATTTCTCTACACAGAGATCATTCATTCATTCAATGTTGTGGAATGTATGTGTCATGAATTAAGTTGTTGCTACTATGGATACACTGACAAGCAAAATTAGATGTAGTTGCTACCCTTATAGAACTTACAGTCTACTGGTGGAGATAAAAATGTATCCTGATAGTCATGTAAATATATGTATACTTATAATTGGATTAAGTGCTAAGAAAGGAAGGTATGTAGAGCTCTCTTAAAGGGATTTGACCTGTTTAGGGAGACTGGGAAAGACTTCTCTGAGGTGAAAAAGGAGCTGAAAACTGAAGGAAAGGTTAGGAATTAACTGGTAAAATGGAAGGTAGAAAAGAACTGTAACACAGATGGACAAGCATGTGCAAATGTCCTGTGGCTCATTTGAGAAACTAATAGAAAATCTGTGTGGCTGGAGTACAGACAACATTGGGACAGAGTATTGTGAGATAAAGTTAGAGGTAGAAACTAGGTACCATGATAAAGATTGTGGTCTTTATACCAAAGAGAATGGAAAATTATTAAAGTGTTTTAAGCTGGGGGCTCTTGAAGGGTTAGGATGAGTGATGCCTTGAGAAATGAAGTAGAATTATGTGCATGAAACTATTCCATAGACTATTAAGCCCTCTACAAAGGTGAGGCTCCAGTTATCTACATAAGGAAAATAATTCTATCTTTTTGTCTGATGTTACCTTATGCAGAAACAGTAAATAATTTTTCTCCAGATATGGAGAACATGTTTAGAATGTTCTGAATCAAAAATGTAAGCTGTGTGGTGTTTACAAAATTCACTTTGAGAGACTCTGGGAGGCCCCTCACAGAACGAGTCTGTCATCCAGTGGAGAAGATGACACTGTCTTGAGAAAGCCTGATGTAATATGACACCATGTATATGAAGACACTATGAAGAGAGAAAACAAAGAGGTTGTAAATTACCGAACTAAAAGGAAAGTCATAAGGGCAGATAATCCGATGGTAGCTCTGAAGGGTGGGGAGCCACTTCTCATGCAGTCATCCTGTGCCAGGGCTCTGGGAGTGGCTCATTTCCTCAAGTGTGGACAACACGACAGGATTTGTCTTGCTTCTCTTCCCTTCTGCCTCTTTGCTTCTGACAAGTTTTCTTCCTTGAGTTTGCAAGAGTGGCATGGACCCTTTTCCTCCTTTTTCTTTCTTTCTTTCTTTCTTTCTTTCTTTCTTTCTTTCTTTCTTTCTTTCTTTCTTTCTTTCTTTCTTTCTCTCTCTCTTCTTTCTTTCTCTTTCTTTCTTTCTTTCTTTCTTTCTTTCTTTCTTTCTTTCTTTCTTTCTTTCTTTCCTTC